CTAAACCCTAAACCCTAAACCCTAAACCCTAAACCCTAAACCCTAAACCCTAAACCCTAGACCCTAAACCCTCAACCCGAAACCCGGCACTTCTCTCCCGGAGGCTCCTCCTGAGTCGGCTGGAAAGGCCTGGCCTGGGACCAGGCGAAGACGTGGCCGCAGCCCTCCCGATGAACTGCCGCCTGGCGGCTTCGGGTTCAGGGTGTCTTTAGGATAAGGGTTAGGGTTTAGGGTTTAGGGCTTAGGGCTTAGGGTGTAGGGTTTAGGGTTTAGGGTTTAGGGCTTTGGGCTTTGGGCTTTGGGCTTTGGGCTTAGGGCGTAGGGCTTAGGGTGTAGGGTTCAGGGTTGGGATGTTCCCCCTGATGCTAACAGCCCTTGATAGGGATGATAATGGGGGGGGGGGGGTACTAACATCTCAAGGTTTGGGGTTTATAGTTTGGTTAGGGTTTATAGGGTTAGGGTGTATTTAGGGGAAAAAGGGTTAGGCCGTATCTAGGGCATATAGGGTTAGGGTGCATTTAGGGTTTCTAGGGTTAGGGTGCATGTAGGGTTTAGGGTTTAGGAATAGTGTAATAAGCTTGTATAACGCCATCCATAAATCATATGACCACAATGCATACTGCAATGATCTAACAAAAACATCTTAGGGTTTTAGAGCTCGAAGCCTCGAAGCTACTAAAGCACTCCGAAACTGTTCACCCACAATCTTACGCACAACGGACGAACCCTACAATATAGGACGACTTCAGGAAAGGAGCTCAAAAAGCGGGCACAAAGGGTTGTAGAAGGGGTCTATGGCATGGGCCTAGACTAAGCCCTTGAAACTCCCTATATGAAGCAGGGTTTCTATTACTGTTATTGGTGAGTGTACATAAGGTTCCTTTTAAATATTGGTGAGTGTATATACCTGGTGTCCTTTTGGGGTACAAGAGATATATACCCCACTTCATATGAACCACAAGTCCTCCCGTCTGAAGATCTTTGATCCTAAACAAACTCACTGCTGCAGCATGACACAAAACCCTACTTGGAGGCTCAGGGTACTTATTAACCAATGGTAACTGTACTTACAACCAACGTAAAAGCCACTTAAGTAATTTGGGTTCTAAGTACTGTGATAATTGGTAAATCAGTACCCTGAACCTTCAAGTAAGATGCTTTCCTGAAGCCTAGACCCTAAAGCCTGTGAAGCCTTATGGTGGTTTCCCGACATTGGGGGTACCTTCTTAGGGTCCGCATTACAAGGGAATCCTACTTTGTGTCTATTCTAGGGGTCCCCTATTTTCGTAAACCCCCTTAAAAACCCTAAACCTAAACCCTAAACTCTAAAACCCTAAACCCTAAACCCTAAACCCCCTTAAACCCAATGCATCTTAAGGTTTAGGGCTGTTTGGAGAGCTAGGGGTGGCCAACCGCACGGACTTCGATCAGCAAGCATATGGTGAGTCTCTTGGTATGCTAGGGTTTAGGGTTTAGGGTTTAGGGTTTAGGGTTTAGGGTTTAGGGCTTAGGGTTTAGGGTTTAGGGTTTAGGGTTTAGGGTTTAGGGATTGGGGTTTAGGGTTTAGGGTTTAGGGCTTAGGGCTTAGGGCTTAGGGCTTACGGTTTAGGGTTTAGGGTTTAGGGTTTAAGGTTTTGAGTCACGGGGTTTCCGCCTTCTTCCCCAGAGGACAAACGCCATTGAGAACCAGGAAGGTCAGCTTTCTTTGTAAGCTTTACCTGTAGATTTTTAGCATTGGCCCTGGCCATCGATGGCAAATGACCAAAAGCAGGGTGTGTGTGTGTGTGTGCCAAAACAGGTGTATATACCCTGTTGAGGGGTCCCTAGAAAAAGGATAATGGCATGTTGAGGGCGGGGGAGGGGCGGGGGGCCCAGGGTCCACGTACACATAGTATATACTTGGGCCCTAAACGGGTGCAAGGGAAATTGGGGTTCCCCCAGTTGTGCGAGATCCTCCCATGGTGCGGAAAACCCGTAGCCTCGTGTGCATGACGTCCGCACTCCATCTGATCGCAGCCATCATTCTTCCTGGTCCCGGACACAGGGCTGCAACTATCCCTTCCATTCTTAGAACCATACTTGAAACTCTTTATAACCCTACTTTCAACCCTGCTTAAGTTACCCTTTCCACCACGTTTTTAACCCTACTTGGCTACCCACGAACCTCCAAGCATTCCGTAATGTTCGGAACCCTCTATACTTCGTGGGCAGGTTCAACATTCGGGAAAAGATGTCAAGGCCACTCTCAATACCCCAAAAAACCTCCCTAAGCCCTATACCCTGAACCCAGGTTTAGGGTTTAGGGTTTAGGGTTTAGGGTTTAGGGTTTAGGGTTTAGGGTTTAGGGTTTAGGGTTTCCGGTTTAGGGATCGGGTTTAGGGTTAGGGTTTAGGGTTATAGATCATTGTTCATGCGAGCCGTCGCCGCTCGGCCTCCGGCGTAAACCCTAAACCCTAAACCCTAAACCCTAAACCCTAAACCCTAAACCCTAAGCCCCCCAAACCCGCCCTAATTCATTATAGGGTCTTAAGGGAGGGAGGGTTCATGGGGGAAGGGGCGGGGGGGGGGGGGGGCGGGGGGGGGCGGGGGGGGGGGCGGGGGGGGGGCGGGGGGGGGGCGGGGGGGGGCGGGGGGGGGGGGGGGGGGGGGGCGGGGGGGGGGGGCGGGGGGGGGGGGCGGGGGGGGGGGGGGGGGGGGGCGGGGGGGGGGGGGTGGGGGGGGGGGGGGGGGGGGGGGGGGGGGGGGGCGGGGGGGGGGGGGGGCGGGTAAAATATAGAGGCCTTAGTAACTAGAATAGGGTTTTGTTGGTTCTTATTGTGATACTATAAAGGGACCATCAGGGAATACTATTCGTAATGGTTCCGACCCCCATATTCGGTGCCTAGGGAACCTTCGGGAAGCTTGGGGAGCCTTAGTAGGGAGTATCAGGGGATCTTGGGTTTAGGGTTTAGGGTTTAGGGTTTAGGGTTTAGGGTTTAGGGTTTAGGGTTTAAACCCTCCATCCCCCCTCCTTTAAGATTAAATTCTAGAAACCTACCCAGACCCTAAGACTCTGAACCCTCAACCTGCATCTGCAAGTTCCTACTTGGGGTTGAGGGTTTCGGGTTTAGGTTTCAGGCTTTAGGGTTTAGGGTTTCGAGTTTAGGGTTTAGGGCCCTAAGCGCCCCAAACCCTCAACCCAAGCCTGCAAACTGAAAATTAAATTCTCCTCCATTGGGCAGTTCTCTCAAATCAGGGTCCCTGTAGGGGGTGCGTATGATGCAGGACCCAAGAAGGACCCTAAATTACAAATCCCTAAACCCTAAACCCTACACCCTAAACCCTAATCCCTAAGCCCTAAACCCTAAACCCACCAAAAAAGAAGCCACAAATTCTAAGAACTACTCCACTACTGCCGCTAAGTGGCTCGATGACGCGGCCGCACTTGGGGCAGCACCTGCTTCGTTGCGCAGCATGGAGTTGATCCTGCGAACTCCCTCAAACCCTATGGAGGGTTAGGGTTTAGGGTTTAGGGTTTAGGGTTTAGGGTTTGGGGTTTGGGGTTTGGGGTTTGGGGTTTGGGGTTTGGGGTTTGGGGTTTGGGGTTTGGGGTTTGGGGTTTGGGGTTTGGGGTTCATAATCTAGGGTTTAGGGTTTACCCCGAAACTAAACCCCAGACCCCTAAACCCGACAAAACCCGAAGACGCTTCCCTAAACTCTTATTCGGGTTTACAGGGCTCAGGCCCGACGGATGCCTTGGGTTTTTTAAGGGATAGGCATGTTTTGTAACTAGGTTGCCCAGTAACCTAGGATGAAAAAGGGTGCCCTTTCTTGCTTAAAGGGGTTTATGAGGGAACCTAAACCTACCGAAAAGGGAAGAAGGGTACTACTGGGCATCCTGCAAGGTTTAGGGTGTGAATTTCGGGCTTACAAGGGTTTAAAGTTGAGGGTTTTGGGCTTGGGCTGGGGAGCAGGTCATTTTTGGGGTTTCAGGGTGTTGGGGGGCAGGGGGGGGTTGGGGGTTGGGCGTCTGGGTTTTGTGGGGTTTTGGGGGTTCGGATTGCCGTAAAGGCCGTTTGCCCCCAGAAAGTCTGAAACTTCCCCACAGAAGAAAAGGCCCAAACCTGAACTCTAAACTCCCCCAAACAGCCACTTTTCCACTTGAGCACTCCAGCGCATGACACAAAACTAGAAAAAGCACTCCAAGACCCAAGAGTAACCTAGGAATGGGAAGGCTGCCCTTTTTGGATTAGGGGTTGGGGGCTAGGGTTTAGGGTTTAGGGTTTAGGGTTTAGGGTTCAGGGTTCAGGGTTTAGGGTTTAGGGTTTAGGGTTTAGGGTTTAGGGTTTAGGGTTTAGGGTTTAGGGTTTGAGGCTTAGGGTTCCCTTCTTGGTCACACCAGGCTGGTATGTGGGGAACCTAGACCCCCAAAGGGGGATTGAGGCCTCCGTTGGAACATCCTTATCCCCACACCCCAAAAGGTATACTAAACCTACCTCTGGAGTAGACCCAGAAAAAAAGGTATATACTTTTTAGGTATAAGTAGCTATACTGGGAACCCAAAACCAAAAAAAGTATTAAAGTATAGTACTCCAAAGCCCAGTAAAGGGAATCCCACTAGTCATCCTTCAACCATGTTCCAACTTTCTGGAGTTTACTGTTTGGGTCCTTGACTCCGAGACCAAACCGAGGGCACTCTTCAGTGCTGAAGACAGCCACTTGCAGCGAACTGCAAATCCCCCTAAGACTGAACGCGCGAAGCGCAAAATGCGGGGAATGTACCCAGAGAGCCCAAAACCCCACGCCCTTAGCATGCTTTGATATTCGGTAGTTCAGAGGTATTGGGCTCTTTGGGGGCGTGTCTGTGTGTGTGCCACGTTTTCGCCGCCAAGGGGCGACAGCACAAGGACATGTCTGACAGGGAAGGGGAGCTAGTCCGATGATATCAAGGTCCGTGCATGCTTAACACCATGAGCATCCAGACTTCCTGTAGCTCCTCTGGTGGCGCACAGAGGTTTTAATCAAGATCCGCCTCCTAGCAGCTGCAGTAGCTCAACGCACGTCCTTGTGGCTAGGAAGTTCAAGAGCATGGCTGCTGCCGTGAGCACGTGCATGAGCCCCACGAGCTGGAAAAGGGACGAGGGCCGGCACATGACTTGGTGGTCATCCAAGACCTATGCTGAACTTGGACCCCTGGGAATAATTAGAAAACCTTGGCTGTTTCTTAGGAATTAGAGTACCCAAGAATTGAACATTGTTCCTAACAATTACTAAGAGACCTTGAAGGTGTATCCCACCAGCCACATGGCCACGGAGCTCCACATGAAGTAGCGAATGCGTCGGCGAGCTAGGCGAGCGGCAATACTGAGCTCGAGGCCGTTTCGGAGCTCTTGCAAGCAATGCCAAGTAGTCAGCTCCACGAACGCGAGAGCCGAAAAGCAAAGCAGCCCAGAAGCCAGCAGTGTGATGGACCAGGCGGCAGGGCTATGGCAGGCGTCTTCCAGTGAGCAGAAGCAGCCGCAATTGAAGCACAGGCTCAGCAAGAGGCTGAGAGTGCAAGCCTATACCCCCCTTAGAACCTTAATAAAAATAGTATGTTTTAAGTATCCTCTTGGGTTTTATACAAACAAAAACGTAATCAACATAGTATGTTTAAGTATCCTCTTGGGTTTTATACAAACAAAAAATTTAAAAAAAATGATTCCCAAGGAAGATAGAGGAGCGAGGTAGAGAGTCGCCCAGATCCAGCCCCGGACGGGCTGACGCGCCAAAGCGTGGCCAGCAACGACCATCCCAAAGCCCTGCCCTGCAAAGCTTGCAATCCTAGCTTGAGGGTTTAGGGTTTAGGGTTTAGGGTTAGGGTTTAGGGTTTAGGGTTTAGGGTTTGGGGTTTGGGGTTTGGGGTTTGGGGTTTGGGGGTTTAGGGTTTAGGGATTAAAACAGGGTGCCCCCCTTGTTGTTGCTCAAAAGGGTTTTTGTTTATAAGGGAACCTAAACCCCTAAAAAAAGGGAATAAGGCTACTACACTGGGCATCCGAGAATCATTGTCCGCCAGTCGAGGATATTCATCTGCCGTGTCAGGGAGGCGTGGTAGGCAAAGGAGGCGAGACCTTCGGCCACCACGGCTGCGCCAAAGACCAGCGCGTGGAAGATCATGGGCCCTGGTATGGGACCATCTTTCCCTGTCGTGGCCTCTTGGTGGCCCAGTTAGGGTTTAGGGTTTAGGGTTTAGGGTTTAGGGTTTAAGGGTTTAAGGGTTTAAGGGTTTAAGGGTTTAAGGGTTTAAGGGTTTAAGGGTTTAAGGGTTTAAGGGTTTAAGGGTTTAAGGGCTTAAGGGTTTAAGGGTTTAAGGGTTTCTCATACCCCTTGTTTTGGGGTTGGTTACTTTACATAAGGGGAACAAAGAACCAACCAACAAAAAGGGGGAAAAAGAGGCACGACTGGGCGAGCAAGGGCCTTGAGGAGATCCGAGATGGCCATGGAAAGGATGAAGAGGCCCACTGCTAGGAACCTAGTTCATGGTGGGGATAGGATTTAAAAAACTAGGCTGCCCAGCAACCAAGGCTTAAAAAGGGTGCCCTTTTTTGCTTTAAAGGGGCTTATAAGGGAACCTAAACCCCCCAAAAAGGGAATAAGGGTACTACTGGGCATCCTAGAAGAAGCAGATTTCTATTCCTTATGGGGTTTAAGTACACTCAAAAGTGCAAAATGTTACCCAGCTATGACAAAGGAACCCAAGGCTGCTAAAGGCATTGGCCGGCGCGCGGACGAGCTGGAACATCCGGGGCCTCTCGCAGGCGTTGTAGACGCATTCGGGGCGTTCAGGGCTTTGAAGGAGCACTTGGCTCCAGGTCAGCTGCTGCCCATGCTCCGTCCCAGAACAGCGACAGGACATGCACGGAGACAGGGCATCCCACAATTCGTAGCCGAACTTTGCGGGCGGTGCCGCGCCGCGCTGTTGCAAGTGCGAGCACTGCACGAAGCTCAGTCCAGCCAGGAGGGACTGTTCCTCTGGTGGCGAGTCAAGAAGCGAGGGGTTTCTCAAGGGCCTCTGCAAGGGGGTTAGGGCTTAAACCCTCAACCCTAAATAACCCTAAGCCCTATAAGCTATAAGCCCTAAGCCCTAAGCCCTGAGCCCTAAGCCCTAAACCCTGAACCCTAAACCTGAAAAAGAGAGACACGCGACCTCCTCGAGGCTCCACCGCGTCGCTGCCAGGGCTGGGAGGCTGAAGAGCACCAACCGGATCATGGCAGCGGGCGTAGAGCTTAGGGTTTAGGGTTTAGGGTTTAGGGTGTAGGGTTTAGGGTTTAGGGTTTAGGGTTTAGGGTTTGGGGTTTAGGGTTTAGGGTTTAGGGTTTAGGGTTTCGGGCTTGGGGTTTAGGGGTTTCGGGTGTAGGGCTTAGGGCACTGGAGGGCCATGGCAGCGGGCGCTCTAGGTCGGGACCTTTGCTGAATAGACCTTCTGAAATTCAAGGAAGCTTCGTGCAGATATCCGAGGCCCTGAGCCCTAAAAACAGAAGTCAAGGCTTGGACTTCCGAGGGAGCAAGATCCTTGGAGCCCCACACCTGAAACTGAAACGCAAGGGCTCTTGAGCAAAACGCGCACAAGCCAAGGCTGAAGGGGTTTAGGGTTTAGGGTTTAGGGTTTAGGGTTTAGGGTTTAGGGTTTAGGGTTTAGGGTTTAGGGTTTAGGGTTTAGGGCTTAGGGTTTAGGGTTTAGGGTTTAGGGGGAGGCATCGAGCTCTCTCTGCGTAAGAATGTGGGCCAGCTCTTGCGAGCCCCTGGCAGACCCCAAGCTCCTCCCTCAACCCTAAACCCTCAAGGGATCATGTAAACCCTAAACCCTAAACCCTAAGCCCTAAACCCTAAACCTAAAGCTTAAACCCTAAACCCTAAACCCTAAACCCTAAACCCTAAACCCTCAACCCTAAAACGCCAAGCCCTAAAACCCTAAGCCCTATGTAAGGTCGGTTTGGGAACTTCTGGATTCGGCCTGGCAAGACTTGATCTTCTTCGCCTTCAAACCCAAAGCCGCCCCAACATCGAAGTCCACAGGGGCTTAGGGGTTAGGGGTCGAGGGCTTTAGGGTCACAGGGGCTTAGGGCTGCCAAGGTTTTGGGGTGCAGGGTTTTAGGGGTTTAGGGTTTAGGCTTTGGGGTCTGGGGCTTTGCGACCCCGGTTGGCAATTGCCCTCAACCCCTACACCTGACATCCTACACCCCTAAACCTGACATGGGAGTGATCTTCGGTGGGAATTGGGAGGTGGAACCTCAGGAGCTCAACCATAAGAGGTATATTTAGAAGGGGACGCAAAACCCAAGACGCCAACACCCTAAACCCTCTCAACCCTCTCAACCCTCTCAACCCTCTCAACCCTCTCAACCCTCTCAACCCTCTCAACCCCCTTAACCCTTAACCCTAACCCCCAAGCCCTTAACCCTAAACCCGAAACCCCGACCGGCTCCTGCCGGTCCCGCTGCTGCTCGAGTCTTCGGCGTCGGCGTTGCTCGTTCTCAAAGCCAGGCAGGCCCTCGAAGCATCGTTGGCAATTGAGGTTTAGGGTTTAGGGTTTAGGGTTTAGGGTTTAGGGTCTAGGGCTTAGGGTTTAGGCATCCGTAACAAAAGCAAACCCATGCAACTAGCTAATCTTTACTTGTGTCTCAGATGTACGAGTTTTCGATGATGGCGGTTGCCCACAACAATGGACCGCTGTTCTTACACGCACAGCGCCCGTTCCTTGCTAAGTTCCTCTTCCTAAAACCCAAAAGGCTTTCAGCCCAAGGCCCTTGAAGCCCTCCAAGGCCCTTGAAGCCCTACACCCCTAAACTGCCTAAACCCAAAACCGAAGCCCTACACCCGGGCTGAGGGTTTAGCCTTAGGCTCCCCTTAAAGCCCCCAAAAACACTTTAAAGCCCCCTCAACAGCCTCACCTTAAAGCCGCAAGCCCTAAAACCCTAAACCCAAAACCCAAAACCTTAAACCAAAAAAACCCGAAACCCTAAACCCTAACCCTAAACCCTAAACCCGAAACCCTAAACCCGAAACCCTAAACCCTAAACCCTAAACCCTAAACCCTCAAGGGCCTTGGTCGGCAGATCCTCCCAGGGATCCTCGCCGGGGCCGGCAGCTGCGGCTTCCGGGCGCGCAAGGGCCGCAGCCCAGGCCTAGGGTTTAGGGTTTAGGGTTTAGGGTTTAGGGTTTAGGGTTTAGGGTTTAGGGTTTAGGGTTTAGGGTTTAGGGTTTAGGGTTTAGGGTTTAGGGTTTAGGGTTTAGGGTTTAGGGTTTAGGGCTGCTTGGAGGTTCATGGTACTTATTAACCAGCTATAACTGTAACTCGAATCCACTTATAAGCCCCTTAAGTGCCCTAACATGGCTATAAGTAGATGAGGAGGGGTTGGGGAGTTGAGGGTTTAGGGTTTAGCATTTGTAGTGTTCGGGGAAGCGTTTATAGGGTTCAGGGTTGATAGGGTTTACAGGGTTTAGGGTTTATAGGGTTTAGGGTTTATACGGTCTCGGATTTATAAGTCTTAGGGTGTTTAGACGGTTAGGTTTAGAGTTTAGGGTTTAGGGTTTAGGGTTTAGGGTTTAGGGTTTAGGGTTTAGGGTTTAGGGTTTAGGGGCGTTTAGGGCCTGGGGTGAAGAGGGTTTAGGGCTCTGGTGAATGGGGTTTAGGGTTTGGGCAGCTTGAGGCTTAAGGAGTTGGTTTAGGGTTTAGGGTTTAGGGTTTAGGGTTTAGGGTTTAGGGTTTGGGGTTTGGGGTTTGGGGTTTGGGGTTTACGGGTTTAGGGGGGTTAGGGTTCAGGGGTAGGGTTTGGGGTGTATGGGGTTTAAGGGGTGTTGCAGGTTCAAGCCGGGTCTTCCCCCAGACGTCCCTAGAGACCCCACTGCCCCAACCACCTGCAAGACCCTCGATCCTCAACCGTAAAGCCTCCCCTACACCCAAAAACCCGAAACCCAAAACCTTGCACCCTAAACCCTAAACCCTACACCCTATAAACCCTAAACCCCAAACCCTATAAACCCTAAACCCTAAACCCTATAAACCCTAAACCCTATAAACCCTAAAACCCTGAACCAGCGCGCCTCTAGGAACTTGGAAGACTCGCCGCCGCCCTTCTCTTGCAGCTCCTCGCCCGGTGCCGCCCTTCTACAAAAAGGGGAGCCTAGGGTTTAGGGTTTAGGGTTTAGGGTTTCGGGTTTAGGGTTTAGGGTTTAGGATTTAGGGTTTAGGGTTTAGGATTTAGGGTTTAGGGTCTCATAACAAAAGCGAAGCCTTACAACTCTAAAGCCCTGACCCTAATCCCCCAACTCTAAAACCCTAAAGCCCCAAAGTACCCTAAACCCTAAACCCTAAACACTAAACCCTAAACCCTAAACCCTAAAGCCCTAAAGCCCTAAAGCCATGAAGTCCTAAACCCGAAACACCCTGCTAGAGCCCTAAATAGCTTGAAGTCCTAAACCCTAAACACCCCCTTGCCCTCTTAGCTACCGGCTCTTGGTAGGGAGTCCCCTAAACCCTAAACCCTAAACCTAAACCCTAAACCCTAAACCCTAAACCCTAAACCCTAAACCCTAAACCCTAAACCCCAAACACTTCGCGTGGGTCCTTCAGAGCCCGGCTGGCTGCCGGACCTGAGCCCGCCTGCTGAATCAGCACGTCCAGGAATTCCAGGAGCTGGCAGCACGGCAATTTGGTGGGTTTGGGCGAGGAGGTTTCGGGTTTAGGGTTTAGGGTTTTAGGGTTTGTAGGGTTTATAGGGTTTAGGGTTTAGTGGCTAAGGGTTTAGGGTTTTGGGGTTCCTTGAATTTCTGAGCATCCCGACTTTGGGGTCTGTTCTGGAGTCGGGTGTAGGGTTTAGGGTTTAAAGTTTAGCGTTTAGGGTTTAGAAGGGGGCCTTACTTTGCGTGCGCCCTCCCCCGATTTACGGTCAGTCAACTTTAAACTGCCAATGAACTCATCAGTTGCAGACAAAAAGCTTGGCTGCACTCAGGAGGGAACTAAACTTCTAGCTGCCTTATTAAGAAACCCAATAAACCCAAAAAGGGTAAGGATCTAAAGTTACGGTAAAGTACCACAAAGAAAGCAAACTGACAACGCAAGCTGTAATCCCTTGCCTGCACCTCGCCTAAGTACTTCTCAGACCTCTCCCAAACGGCCCCAAACCTTCCCCAAACGCCAAACTCAAAACCGTAAACCCGTGAATCCTTAGACCCTTAAACCCCTAAACTCTTCAGCCCTTAAACCCTCAACCGCCTTGTGCCCTCAACCCTTAAACCCTTGAACCCTCAACCCCCTTAAGCCCTTGAAACCTTAAACAAACCCTTAAGCCCTCAGACCCTTAAACCCTTGGAACCCTTAAACCCTCAGACCCTTAAACCCTCAGACCCTTAAACCCTGCAAACCTTCAACCCCCTTCAACCCTTAAACCGTTATACCCTTAAACCGTTTAAACCCATAAACCCATGAACCCCTCGATCCATTCAACCCTTAAACCCTCCAACCCTTACACCCTGTTAACACCTAAACCCTATAAACCCTATAAACCCTATAAACCCGAAACCCTAAACCCTAAACCCTAAACCCGAAACCCTAAACCGGTCTCAGCGCCTGCGGCGCGCCCTCACCGAAACTGGGGTCTGCCAGCATGCGTTTCCTAGGTTGGAAGGTTTAGGATTTAGGATTTGGCGCTTTGGGTTTAGGGTTTAGGGTTTAGGGTTTAGGGTTTAGGGTTTAGGGTTTAGGGTTTAGGGTTTGGGGTTTGGGGTTTGGGGTTTCGGGTTTAGGATTTGGGGCTTTGGGGTTAGGGTTTTGGGCTTGGGGTTTAGGGTTTGGGATTTAGGATTTAGGATTCGGGGCTTCGGGTTAAGGGTTTGGAAGGCTTGGGAAGAATAAGTTTCCCAGCGACGCTTGCCGAAGCTTCCATTGAACCCGAAATCCATAACCCAAAAACCCTCAATCCAAAACCCGAAGCCCTTAAACCTCTAACCCCCAAAGCCCTAACCCCTAAGCCCTGAACCCAAAACCCCAAAAGCTGCACTGACTTCTGGAGTCAGCGAGGTAGGGATGAAGGAGTTCCTACTATTTGCTTACGAACCTCCCCCGGAGAGAACTTATAAGGGTAATGGAGGGATAATTCTTCTTTCTTCCTGAGGGGAACCCTAAACCCTAAACCCTAAACCCTAAACCCTAAACCTTAAACCCTAAACTTCAGGAAGTAGTAGGCTCAGCTTAAGGATGCGATGGCCTTGGAAGCCTACTGCCAGGGTGTAGGGTTTCGGGTTTAGGGTTTAGGGTGGGCCCCCCAAGCCCCAAGACACCAAAACCCCTAAACAAGCATACGCCCGAAACTCTAAGCTGCAGGGCTCATTCAGGATATTCTCAGTTAAGCCCACAGCCCGTGGCGCGCTTTAAGGTGGATTTAGGGTTCGGACTACGGGCACTTTGAACCCCAACTAGGGTTTAGGGTTTAGGGTTTAGGGTTTAGGGTTTAGGGTTTAGGGTTTAGGGTTTAGGGTTTAGGGTTTAGGGTTCTTATAGCCCCAATTGCAGCCGTACTCATAAGCACCTCAAGCCCTCTAAGTAGGTTCTAAGCAGACTTGTAATTTCCGGCCGGGTGTCGCCTGGTGGCCAGTGTAGGCACCCTTGACCACCTTCAGCGCAACTCAGCGGTTCGTTTTGGGGCTTAGAGTTTAGGTTTAGGGTTTGGGGTTTAGGGTTTAGGGTTTAGGGTTTAGGGTTTAGGGTTTAGGGTTTAGGGTTTAGGGTTTAGGGTTTAGGGTTTAGGGTGTAGGGTCTAGGGTCTAGGGTCTAGGGTTTAGGGTTTAGGGTTTAGGGTTTAGCTTTTAGGGTTTAGGGTTTAGCGTTTAGGGTTTAGGGTTGAGGGTTTAGGGTTTAGGGTTGAGGGTTTAGGGTTTAGGGTTTGGGGTTTGGGGTTTAGGGTGTAGGGTTTGGGTTTAGGGCTTAGGACTTAGGGTTTTTTGACCTTCGGAAGAGCTCACCTGTTCGGTTGCTTAGGGCATTGTTTTGGGGGCTTTGGGGGATCAGGGTCTTTGGTGGCTTTAGAGGGCTTTACGTTTTTAGGGTTTCCCCCCCCCCCCCCCCCCCCCCCCCCCCCCCCCGCCCCCTAAACCCTAAACCCTAAACCCTAATCCCCCCTCCACCTGCTTGGCCACAGCTTCGAGGAGGGCCTGCTGCCGAGCAGCCTCATGTGGGGCTGCGAAAAGGAACCACTACCACTTTGGGGGATTTGTTGAGGGTTTAGGGTTTAGGGGTTACGGTTTAGGCTTAGGGTTTAGGGTTTCGGGTTTAGGCTCTAGGGTTTAAGGAAGGAATCATTAAAAACTGCTTCAGGGCTTAGGGTATAGGGTTTGGGTCCTCAGGTTTGCTGTGGTCTGTTAGCGGAAGGGACGTAAGATCAAAGCCCTGGCCAAGCGAGCCAGTCTTGAAAGTTTGGGAGCATGCGGCCAAATCCCTGCAAAACCGCGGTTTAGGGTTTAGGGTCCGGTGCTTAAACATCAGCTGACAAGCATGTGCCTTCAGAGACCAAAAAAAGTGACACCAGGAAGCCCCGGGAACTGGAGCAGCTTCTGCTACGTCTCCGTTTCCACTGCCGTGGTCAGAGTCGTCATCGGATACCACAAGAGGCTCATGCCGGCACAAGGACCACTTGCCTCGCGTAGCCAAAGCTCGGAGCCGCCGAGCTAGCCACCGTGGGAGAAGATGAGAAAGCAAGCCGACTACACTCATTACCGGTGGGGTATGAAATGAAAGTGGGAAGATTGAGATAACATCGCCGGCACCGATGATGTCGTGCGTGTAGCATGATCAAAAGCAGTTCTTATCTCGTAAAATATATAGATCCTGAGCAATCACTGAGCCTCCTAAAAAAAAAGTGCGCGCGAACAGGGTATCGTTCCCAAGAACCAGAACCCTAAACCCTAAACCCAAAACCCAAAACCCAAAACCCTAAAACCTAAACCCTACACCCCACTGAACCCGCCCAAACCTCGTGGCTCAGAGGTTTAGGGTTTATAGGCTATAGGGTCTAATTAGGGCTGAGGGTCTAGGGTTTAGGGTTTAGGGTTTAGGGCTTAGGGTTTAGGGTGCGTTCCTGAGACACCCTGAACCCGACACCCGTCTTTGTGGCTTTCTTGCCGGGGATCGGTTCCCAATCCTCTGCACCCAAAACCCTACAAAGCCCAAACTCTACAAACCTTCAACCCTGAGCCCTCACCAGAAACCCTAAACCCTAAACCCCAAACCCTAAACCATTAAACCATAAAACCCTAACCCTAAACCCTAAACCCTAAACCCTAAACCCTAGACCCTAGACCCTAAACCCGAAGCCACGCAGCTCGCCGCACCGTCACGAAGGCGTTCGAGGTCGTGAGGGGAGCTCCGCCCTCGGAAAGGAGGGCTATGGGGCTAGGGTTTACCCTAAGACTCGCACCCTAACCCCTAAACCCTAAACCCTAAACCCCAAACCCTAAACCCTAAACCCTAAACCCTAAACCTGAGACCCTAGACCCTAAACCCTAAGCCTCAACCACGAATCCACCCTTGCCTAGTACCACCTGCTGCTATAATTGTGGAGGGCGTGGGCCTGCGACTCCCATCAGCCTACTAGTAGTCTTTGGGGTCTAGCATTTGCCCAATTCCTCCACTTCCAGAGTTGCCAAATCAAGAAACGTCAAGCCGTGACACGTTGAGGGTGAGTTGAAACGTCAGCCCGAATCTTGGGGACGAAATGAACCCTGAAACGGTTTATGGTTCATATACCTTAATGGGAATTATAGGAGTAAGGGATATGACCCCAATTTTAGGGTTCATTTGGTCATTAAGGAATCGGTGACCCACCGGCCTCTTTGCTAAACTCGTCCATGGCCTCCTCCTGAAAAAACCCGGGTGTCCGATCGCCGGTAATAAAGTGGAGTGGTACTTTGGGTAGATGTCCTTCATATTGCAGCTCTATAAGAAGTAATATATATATATATATATATGTATGTATATGTATAGTAGAGCAATATAGTGGAGTGGTACTTTGGGTATATTATGTCCTTCTTATGTGACGAAAATCGGGGGTACCTTGCTGAGGTCCTTATTCTATAAGGAAATCCTACTATTTGGGGTCTAGATTCGGGTCCCTTATTTTCGCAAACCCCCATACTGCAACTCTATAGGGAGTATATATGGATGATGTTGGCAATAAGTCAGGCTCTTGCATGAGGGCGCTATAGACCAAACATGTATAAGCACTACAGCATCATCTTCCCAAAACTCTGGCTCTCAGGTTTGGGGGTTTACTGTAGTGTTTTTTGAGGGTTTGGGCTTGGGCTTTGGGGTTTGGGGGGAGTGAGGGTCAGAGTTGGATTGCACACCTTGTAGGCAGCATTGGCCACGATCCAGGTGCGAAGCTCTAAACTGCTAAGTCTTCCTCTCTCACGCAGTGCACCTTGGACAGAGCTGTGTTAAAAAAAACGCGGGAGTATGCTGACATAACAATGCTGTCTTCTTTCAGGGTGCTTGAAAAGGAAGTCAATCCGCAGGAGTGCTATATAAAACCCCTACAAACCCCATAAAGAGAACCCGAAAAATTTCGAATGCATCCCTAAACCCTAAAACCCTTAGCCCTAAACTCTAAACTCTAAACCCCCCAAACTCCACGCCCCAAACCCCAAAGCCCGAAAAGACCTAAACCCTAAACCCTGGACCCCAAACCCCAAACACCAAACCCCAAACCCCAAACCCTAAACCCTAAACCTAAACCCTAATCCCTAAACTCTAAACCCTAAACCCCAAAAGCCCTCAAGCTCCGCAGCTCCTCCGGCAGCTCCAAGAACGCCCGCCCGGTGGGTGAGCGGAAGGCGTAGAAGAGCATGAAAGGGAGACTGGTGCCCTGGACTTGGGGGGGGGGAGGGGAGGGGTTTAGGGTTTAGGGTTTAGGGTTTAGGGTTTAGGGTTTAGGGTTTAGGGTTTAGGGTTTAGGGTTTAGGGTTTAGGGTTTAGGGTTTAGGGTTTAGGGTTTAGGGTTTAGGCCCTAGACCCGAAACCCTAAACTCTGAACCCTTAACCCCATGGCCTAATCACGGAGCCCTAAGCCCTAAGCCTTGAGCCCTAACCCTGAACCCCTACACCCCTTAGGCCTAAACCCGAAACCCTGTTAGGGTTTCGGGTTTGGGGGACTCTGGCTTCAGGACGTGAAGGCTTGGGTGCAGCGTTTAGGTTTTGAGGGTTTCGGGTTTGAGGGCTTCGGGTTTAGGGTTTCAGGGCTTAGGGTTTGAGGGCTCAGGGTTGAGGGTTTAGGATTGAGGGTATCAATTAAGGTTTGGGGTTGACATTTACAGGCTAGGGTCTTAGGGCTTCTGGTGTGACTCAGCCGGCGCCAAACAAGTCCTATTATTTGAAGTTTACAAGGCGTCTTGGGTCTTCTGAGTTCGTGGTCGGCTATAAAGTTGATCCGGAAAATATTGCAGGGCTGGTAGGGGTTTTAGGGTTTGGGAAATCTTCCTTTGTGATGGCCTTGCTTTAAGGGGGGGTGTTGCGGTTGTGGGGGCTTGACGGAATTGTACGTTAGGCAGACGTCCATCGCCTCCTCCCCCCCAAAACCTTAAACCCTGAAATTCTGAACCCCAAGCCCTCAACTCTAGACTCTACACCCCCCAAGGCCCCATCACTCCATATCCCTACGTAGACCCTCGACCCTACACCCTAGACCCTAGACCCTAAACCCCACCCTGTAGAGGGCCCACAGAGCCTCTTCCACATGTCGCCGATCGCCCCAGAGACCCTCACCAGGACTCCAGTCTGCGGCCAAGCGCTGCGTGAATAGGCGGCCTTGTGTTCTTTTGGGGGGGTGGTTCGGATTGAGGGTATAGAGCTGTCTGGGCAAACATTTAAGGGTTGTACCTGGGACCCTTGAGGTTGTACCCGTGGGTTTGGGGGACCGTTCATAAGGATCCTGAAGATAGCCATATCCGGAGTATAATCTGGGGAACCTTTACCTAGGGGATCACCTTAGGGGTACGAGTCTAAATCCCTTGAGGAGAAAGCAGACTCCAAAACCCTACATCCCTGAACCCTAGTACTAGTACTAGTTCCCCCGAACCCGAAGCAACCAACCCCAAACCCCAATCCCCGAACCCCAAACCCTAACACTATTTAGGTGCTTCGGGGTCCAAACCCTAAACTCTGAACCCTAAACACCAATTCATGCATTTGGGGTGCAAGGTGTTTACCAAGAAAAGCCCCGGCGTAGGAAGGCAAAACGCCGTGAAAACTTCAACAACAAAAGGCAACCCCAAACAAAGCCACTTCGGACGCAGCTCTCCCGAAACACAAGCACTAAGCACTGCGAGCCTTAAACCGCAAACCCGAACAAAGCCCTACAAACCCTAAGCCCCACACCCGAATTCAGCCCTAAACCCTAAACCCTGAACCCTGAACCCTAAACCCGAAACCCGAAACCCTAAACCCCAACTCTCCCCAGTCTGGGGCGCTGAAGGATTGCAGGAGCAGGAGCCGACGGTCTGAGGGCTGGCGGGACAGGACCTCTTGGACATCTAAGGCGGGCTTTTGTGGGGGTTTGCAGGGGTTGAAAAGGGTTTAGGGTTTAGGGTTTAGGGCTTAAGGTTTAGGGCCAGCCCCCTCCCCCCTCCCCCCTAGACCCTCCAACAGGCGCTACCCGGAGTCTGGCAACTTGGAGTCCACTTGTTTAAGACTTTCTTTTCAGGTCTCAGGGCCATTGCGGTGCCTAACAAAAACGTTCTGAACCCGAAAACCAAAACTCACAAACCCTAAAACCCCCAAACCCAAAACACAAAAACCCTAAAACCCCTTACTAAAAGCCTCAAACCCGGAACCCCTCAACCCTAAACTCAGGGGCATTACGGTGCCTGACCCCTGAAACCCAAAAGCCCCAAAGCCCGGAACCTCTAAACCGCAAGCTCCAGCCCGTTTGCGGTTTAGGGTTTAGGGTTTAGGGATTAGGGTTTAGGGTTTAGGGTTTCTTCAGATCGTTTGGGGAGCCCCTGGGGAGCCTCCAGCACGCCTTCCAAGGCAGAAGCCCCCAGCGCTGGCGACACCGTGGCCGCAAAAGGCCCTGAGCTGTCGAGGACATTCAGCCTCAGGGTCTGGAGATTCGGGTTTAGGGTTTAGGGTTTAGGGTTTAGGGTTTAGAGTTTAGGGCTTCGGGTTTCGGGTTTGGGGTGTAGAGTTAGAGCTAAGGATCTTAGGCTTGGTGCTTCGGATCAGCTCTAGGTTTCAGATTTTCGTCTAGGGCTGTGTGAGTGAAGGAAGCCTGCTTTAGTGCGGGCCCCCTGTTTGAAGTCAAGTTTTCTGGGGCCGTTCAGGACAAGGTGACTGTTTGGGGGTGCACGAAGGGATCCTCTATTAAGTCAAATCGTCCGGGTGTCGCAATTAAGACCATCTAAACTCCTCTCCTTTAAAACCATGTAAAGACCGTGGACAACTTAACGAGAGCAAAAACCAGCTTCGACTGTTGGGGGGGGGGGGGGGGGGGGGGAGGGCACACTAAAGCAGGTGCAACATTATCAACCAAAACCTTACACCTTACAAACGCGAAGCCCTCCAAGCAAAAAAAACAAAAAACACAACCCTGCACCCTCAACGTTAAGCGCAAAACCCACAGCCTTAGAAGCCCTGTAAGCCTTTAACACACAATCCAACAAAGGTGCGTTGAGAGCTGCAGTGTAACCCTAAACCTTACTTGGAGGTTCAGAGTACTTACT